CCTTCTCTCACCCCCGTTCTGGACCAAATGCCGCAGGGACTCAATTCTTTTTGGAACCCCCTCCCCAGAATGTGAAAGAGCCCAGACCCCGGCGGGAGGGTGTCATGGGATCTGTGCGAGAGCAACGGGGAGGGGATGCCGTGGCCTCTGCCCGGCCGGTCCTCGCCACCCCGAGCGGAGGACCAGGGCTTTTCTACCTGTCCGGGATAACGGGATGGGTTTCTCCCTGTTTCCCAGGGATGGAGCAACCATGACCGAGAGGACTGTGTGCCTGAGAGTTCCTTTGCTTCCCCCAGCTCCTGCCTCTGCCTTCTCTCTTATTTAACTGTCCTAGGGGAAAAAATCGGCCAGTTTTCCTGTCTGTCCAGCCTTGGGGAAGGAAGCAGGATTAACGCGGGGTAGGCGACGTGAGGAGCATTGTCAGAAAAGCGTGGAGTTTGTTTTAAGACATCAAAAAGGAAGACAGAAAAGGATGGACACTACCTTCCAATACACTTTAGCTGGCTGGTGACAAAAACTCCGGGCATGCTCTGAATGCGTAATTGGTACCCCCAACTGAAAATTCCCTATCTAATTTGATATTTGGTGCTCAGCAGAAGCTAGCCTTCGTAAATAATATACAAAGTAAGAAACCTAATCCAGCAGGCTAGAATGTTTAATTCATCATTATGCGAGCTAATTGGAAGGTGATTATATGGTAATTGCTCATTAGTGGTGTATATTTATCGCTGTACCTTATGTCAAGGCCATGGGAATTGTGTAGAGTCTGTTCTCTCATTTCAAGGATCAGTTTCAGAAGCAGGAGCAAAGCGGACGAGATCAAGTTCTTCCTGACGTCAGGTCCAGCCGTGGGCGACGGAGAGCGGCACTATAAATGCTCTCCCGGAGCCCCCGCAGCAGCCGGGGCTCCAGCCAGGGCGTGCGGTGGACACGGGGTTCCCGAGGCAGCCGGGGCGAGCGGCCTCACGGTGGGGACAAGGAGGAGAAGGATGAGGAGGAGGCAGATCCCGCCTTCCCCGTTCCGGCCAGGGGAGCCACCTGCGAGGCGCACTGACCCCTTCGCGGGAGCGATGCCCGCAGCACCTCCCGCCCCGCGCCTTGCGGGAGACCCAGAGAACTGGGGCGGCCACGGCCCCCCCATCCCGGCAAGAGGGGTCCGAGGGGGCACCGGGGGGGTTCGCTCACAGCCGGCGGGTCGCCTTCCCTGCAACAGGCGCTAATTGCAAAAGGTCAATTAAAAGAGAACCAGGGAAGGTGATTAATGGTCCTTTCCGTTTCAAGAGTGGGCAACGGGTTGGGATTCCCCGGCTGCGAGTGTCCCACCAGGAGAGAGGCTGGCGAGGAGAGAGGTTACGGCTCGGGGTCAGGAGGTTCTCTAAACTCCCGCTTCCCCCTCGCAGCGGGACCCTTTGGAGAAATAAATCAATGGCCGTATTAGCTCCGAGCAGTTATGAACCGCTGATGTAGACGGGAGCAGGGGCTGGGAGGATCCTGTTCATCAGGGAATCCGGCCAGAGCTGCTCTGCCTGCTTCCTACCGGCTATGAGGAGCCTGGGTGCTAATTAGGGGGGACCGCTAATTTCCGCCGAGCCCTCACAGGTAACAGTGCGATCTATCAGAGGAGGAAGGTAAATAAACAGCGTTTAAACACAACAAAGCGAGGGCTCCGAAGGCCTCTGGCCTCATCACCCCGCTCCAGTTGCACAGAGAGGGGTGCGTGGGTGCGGGTTTGCGCCCGCGTGAGGGGTGCAAATCCCACCGGTGGGAAGTGACCCCGGCTGGGAGCCGCTAGCTTTGTCCGAAAGGAAAGGGTTAAAAGTCCAAGGCCGGCGGGGTCAGATCCTGGACACGGAGCCAGCAGAGCTGCCGAGGGTGGGGATCCGGCCCTCGCGGGGGCGGCACTGGCGGGAGCCCCCGGTGCTCGGGGCCGCTGCTGGGCGGTGACACCCTGAGAAGGGCCGGGGCCGGCGAGGGGCGGGGAGCGGGCTGCGCCGACCTTGGCCGGCAGACAGAGCCCGGTGATGGACGAGGCAAACCACGCGAAACCGGCGGGGCCGATTTGCCCGCGGAGGTGCGCGGGACAGCGCGCTCCGCCCCGCACCGCCCCGCACCGCCCCGCACCCGCGGAGCGCCCCGCGCAGCACTGCCGGGGGGGGCCCTGCTCGGCCTCCAGCCCCCTGCGCAGCACGGGGGTGCAGCGGCCCAAATCCCGGCCTCCGGAGGGACAGCCGGCCTCCGGCAGCCGTGCCCCGGCTTTCCTTCGAAAGAGCAGTAAAAATCCACCGGAGTCTGCAATTCGCCACCCGAATTCCACTTCCCCCTCCCCCACTCCTCTCAGTTATTTAATATAAAATGTATTTTTAAACACCCGCTCGGATAGCATCTCGCCAATATTTATATTTCCACGTTGCCTGGCATCCACTGTCCCACATTAGACTCTGCCTCTCTCTCCCTCTCTCTAATCCTGCCACTTTAAATAGATGAATTAATAAAGCAAATGAGGGTCTAATAAGCTGACTGTCCTGCCTATTGAGGCAGGGGGAGAGAGACTAGAAAGTGCGCCAAATTTGTTTGCAGTGGATCAAGGCTAGCCGCCTTTGCTTCACTTTCTTTATCTTAATTCCGACTTGAAAAGATATAATTATCTAGTTTGAACAGAGCTGCTATCAAATCCTTCTCTAGGCAAGGCAGGGGAGAGCTGGAGTGGATTGCAGTGTTCTGAGCCGCTTGGTGCAGCCGGAGATAGGGAGTAATGAAGTTGTGGAGTCCTGAGATACAAAGGGCATTAACCTCATTAGCATGAAACCTTTTCTTCTAACCATTGTGGGACCCTTTCAGACTCCTAATCCCCCCTATTTTCAAAGCTGGGTTTGTAATAAAGCTTTTAGGGTTTTTTTTCAAAGCTAATGGCATTCTCTGAAGATTTTATTGCTGTTACGCTACATAGGACGCTTAATTTTTTTCCCTCTCTCCCTCTCTTCCCTCACGGTTAAAAAAAGAAAAAAAAAAAAAAAGAAAAAGAAAAAGGGTGGAGGGAGAAGTATATGGTTCCTGCCGAAATAAGGCTTTTATCAAGATGGGAAACAATTTCTAGAAAGGCCCAAGACTGCTGTTCGACCGCAATCCTTTTACTGTTTGCCCATTTGCCCGGGTTTGAAGTGGAGCGCAAGCCAGCTTGGGTGAGTTCAGGGGAAATGTGCATCCTGTTGGTTTCCAGATCTGCATCATCAGCTGTTCGAGGAGGGGAGAGATGCAACGAGAAGTTTACCTTGGGAATAGCTCTACTAAATAATTAGCCTAGGTTTAAATGGAAGGGACTGCATTGCGACATGCGTCCTAACCCTGACTGGGCCTCTCTCGTATTTGTAGCACTAGTGAATGGAAAGTCACCGGGACTGTATAAGAACCGATGCTAAAAAAAAATAAGATCGGATTTAAAAAAAAAAAATTAAATTTACATAGTACCCGATAGAGCCAACACGTGCACAGAATGTCTAATCTTAACTTTCCAAGGCAGTATGTTTAACAAAGCTCGTATTTTTGCGATGCATTGTAACTTCGCCTTATCACAGTGTAAAGGGTAGTCAGATTGTCCTAAATTATGTCCAACTAGCCCCCCTGGATCCACGGATTAAGAGATTAAAGGAGACCACTGGGCAATGCCTCCTCTTTCCCCTTCATATTCCTGGTATGATAATTGCCTAAACTGATTTGCACTTTCACAAAAGCTTGCAGGATTCTTTGTAGCTCGAACAGAGCAGACGAGGTTTCTCTATCAATGGAAATAAAACTGATTAATGCAGTCTATCAGGCTAAAGAGCAAATGAAGCATGAAAAAACAACTGTGTACCCCCAGAAAACCAGCTAGTTTCCTCAAGGACCCAGAGCAACTTTTTTTTTTCTTTCCCCCACGTCTTTAATGTCAGAGTTTTACTCTGTGCCCAGGATCGCTCCCTGAGAGCGGCGGGGAGAACAGCAGCTGGGGCACAGCCCCTGCTCACAGGACCTGTTCCTCACCGCAGCGACCTGGCCAGGGGATGATAAACACGGGGGGGGGCGGAATAAAAAACACCCTGTCGCTATTAAAACACATATTTTTGCAAAGGAAAGCCCCTCTGAGCGGAGCGCGGCTGCTGCGGACCGGTTTCACCGTTACGAGCCGGTTCACACTTCGGATTCTAACCAGGGAAGGGTTTTTCGCTGGGGGTGTTCTTTTCGTTTGTTTTTGTTGGGGTTTTTTTTTCAGGTATTTATTTACATCAAGCGGGACTCCGCGGCGTATTTTTAGAGGTCTATTTACCAGCCGGCGAATACATTAAGAAAATGCGCCTATGGCCGCAGGAATGCGCGGCGCGGCCGCGGGAGCGCAGGCTCCGACCGCAGGGGTTCAGCAGCGAAAAACAAGGCGGTGTGGGGGGAAAATACTGATTCCTGAGAAATTTGGGGGTGAAGCGGAAAAGATATTGCTTAAAAATTTAGGGCATATTGATAAATCTTTATTGACAAAATATTGACAATGACATACTTCTTGGAAGTATATAGTGTGTTAGAATTCTAACAAATTAAACACGAAACACAAAAATATTTACATTCTGGTATAGGAGACATGAAGGAAACATTTGTAACTTTTTCTTAGTAGCTCTATGATTTCGGAATATTATAAGGTCAGTGCTTGAAAATTGCCCCAATGAAAATGGCCATTAGAAAAAAAAAAATCAATCTGCGATTTTAAGTCCCTTTTCTCTGGATCCTCCCAGCCTAGAAGGTGTCCTCACCGCCAAAACTGGTCGCTGGGTTTGCGCTTTATTAATCTTAAAAAATAATCGTCATCCGGTTTTGCAATGGGGATACGATGGGGGGTGGAGGGGGGCTAATTTAATTTGAATTTTTTTTTTTGCAGCAAAAGTTATGACCAACCCCCACCCCCCCCCCCTCCCCGCCTTTCCCTCCCGTCCCTCCCCTCCCCACCGTGTTTGTCCATCCGGAAGGAACACTATGCCTTGTTACTGCTACTTCATTTAGCTTTCACAAACACTTTGACGCCAGAAGTTATCATAAAATGGTTACAGACTGCACATTTCTCGTAAAATAAAATTAAAAAGCACACGGAACCGGTCTTAAAGGGAAAAAAAATTACAATTAATTTCTGTCTTTAGGAACTGGAGTAATGTTTTCGCTTTTTTTTTTTTTTTTTTTTTTTTTTCTTTTTTTGCCCAGACGGCTTTACACATGCAATTCAAGTTTCTGAAACAGGTGTGGGGTTTGGCTGCTTATGGAAATTTCTCTTTCAAAGACGGAAAAAACTGTGAAGTGCAAAATGTCCAGTAAGGTGGTAATTTTTCTGATTTGGATGGGGGGGGCGGCTTCTCTTTTTTTTTTTTTTAAAACATTTTTTTCTATATATTTTTAAATTTTTTTGACGTTATGCTTTTAAAAGTGGACTGCGATAAACGGAATACCTGTCAATCACTTCGTCCCGCTGTTTTGGCTCTGATTGACAGATCCCCCTTGCCAGAGCGGTGCCGGCAGTGTCACAGTTCGGACCCCTCGCTGTCTGCCCCTCGCTCGCTCCCAGCTCCCTCCCAGACGGGAATCGTGTTTTGATGAAGATCTCCGTGTCCTTCCCCGCACCGCCACGCCGGGGGGGGTGAGCCTTTAACACTTTCGGTTAGTGGGGTGCTTGGCTTTGAAAAGTCCCAAAGAGCCAGTTCTTAATCGTCCGACGTGACGTCGATTTCCTCTGGACTGGCCTGTTTGGTGGCGATTCTCCACCGGTTGATGTGATGAGTCCCTTTTTTCTTCTGTTGTGAGTCTGAACCTTCCTCTTCCAACTTTTGCCGCTTGAACTTTGTCCGTCTGTTCTGAAACCATACTTTTACCTGAGGGAGGAAAGGCACCGGGCGTTAGTCCGATGCCTGCTGCGCTGGCCCTGGCGCGGGGCTCCGGGTGCCCCCGGGCCGTGCCCTGCCCGGGCCGTGCCCTGCCCGCACCGCGCTCTGCCCGCACCGCGTCCTCACCGCTCCGTGCCCTGCTCTCACCGCTGCCCAGCCTGGAGCGGGCCGAGCAGAGACGAGGCCCGCCTGCCTCCTAACCCCCTCGGGAAAGGCCCGGACAGGCTGTCCCACGCCCGCCGGCCGCTCCAGAGCACCCACGTGTGCAGGACCGGGCAGCACGGCCGGGGGATGCACCGGGCGCGCACCGGGCGCGGAGCTCCCGCGTACGAGCGGCCCCGAGCAATGCCCCGGTGCCCCACGCGGGGAGAACACGGCGTGGCCGTGGGCTGTCACCGCCACGGGCCCGCTCCCGTTCCCCGCGCTCGGCGAGCTGTGCCGCGGCCCAGGGGCTGCGGGGCGGGAGGCAGGGCCGGCTGCGGGGCGCTCACCTGCCCGCACGGCCCGGCCCGGCCCGGCGGGTCAAAGCAGACCGAGGGCCTCATCCATTCCAGGATGGGGCTGAGGGCCGGCCGTACGAGATCTTTTCCTCTTGGAAAAGCGCATAAAATGTAAGAAAATAGCCCCGAGTAGAAAAACGTCCGTCGCTCCCCGCAACATCTCCCCGGGACACGCCGTCCAGGAGCGATCGTAGCGCCGCGAAACCTGTAAGTGCCATCGCAAATATCCCTCTCATTTTGTTCAGCGCGAGTACATCTGACTGAACCATCCGGCAGCTGACTTCAGTGCTTTAATTACAGATAGTATTGATCTCTGAGCTATCTCCAGAGCTGGCCACACTCCATGTAGCGTCCAAAGGTAAACACTTTTTTTTTAAAGCAGTTTAAACTCTGGTTCTATCTGAAAGTGCCTGATAAAGGCCTCAGCAAGGGGGGGGTGAAGAGAACTGGAGCATTTTAATAAGCTGGTTTAACCCGCTTCGCTGCCTCTTCAGAACAGAGACCTGACTGGCCGGACACACATCTCTGCTGCATTTTCATATTCTCCAAAAGTCCCCCATTAAAAAGCTGAGCGGGGAACAAGGGGTGAGTTTAATTTGCTTTTAGTTTGCTAATTGAAGGGGAGGACGGTTCATTTCTGCGCGCTGATCTCCCAAAAGGGAGCTCATTTGTAGGGGACTGGGGGTTTGACATCCGGACAAAAGACCCCAACCAGCTTCGGAATCAAGCAGCACAAAGACCACCTTAAATACAGCTTTCCAGTAGAAATAAGCCTGTGACCGGTCCCTTGTTCGGGGAACCTCATAAAAGTGGCGATCCCTTTTTATTGTTTTGTTAGGGAGACATTTTAAAACAAAAGCTCCAACCTCTTTATTGCTTCCCCCACGAAAAGGAGTTAAGAAAAAAAAAAAGTGTTACAACTTAATCCGCCCAGAGAACGCTGTGTTTACTGGGAACTTTGAACTAGGCTGCGGCTGGGTATTTTGGCTTTTTTTTTTTTTTTTTTTTTTTTTCCACATACTGTAGCAGAGACAATCCCCATCTGGAATCCTGTCTCCGCGAGTCTCCTGGAAGGGCACAAAACAAAAGCCCGACACAACAACAACAACAACAACAACCACCACCAACCCTCCAAACTCCAGCTTTTCTTCCGGCGGGGAGAAAACCGCGTGAAAAACGCCCTCACAGCGGGCCCGCCGTCCGTGGGTCCCCCGCCGTCGGGGGGAGCCCGTGCCCGCCCCCGCCGCAGCCCTTGGCCGGTTCCGCGCTGCCCCAGAGCGCCCGACCTCGGTACCTGCGAGACCCTCGCCCCGGGACGACCGGAGCGGGAACCTCGCTGATCGTCCCGCCAGATACACGACACAAACAGGCTCCGGTGCGGCTCTGGCCCGCAGCCAGTCGGCGGGAGGGGGGAAGGAGGGCGGGGGAGGGGGGGATTCCTCGTTAATAATTTCTCTGCTTTTATTTTTCATCTTTCTGTCCTCCTGAACCGGCTCCTCACATCCCCTCTGCCTGACGCGGGGCTAGAAACGAGTGGAAAATCATCCAAGAAACTGTGTTTCTGCCGTAGGGTCCAAAGAGGGGGGTTCTTCCCCCTCCCCCCCATTTGTTTTGGTGGCTTTTCCCCCCAATATCAAACTACTTCTTGAGGGTCGGAGCAGCCCCGCAGCAAAACGGCCGGACCCGCAGACCGCGGACCTCGCCACTCCCTCCCCGCTCGGGCCCGGGCTCCCATCGGGGCTGCCCGGGGGACCCCAAATCCTGCTCCAGCGCTGCGGCTTCCCACGGCCGGCCGAGGCACCGCGACCCTCGGCACAAGCGGTGGAATCACGAACGGGAAAGGATTTTACAACACCCAGGCGAGGGGGGACCCCTCTCTCCGCTCCACCGGCTGGGGACCGAAGGCCTAAACACCCCTAGAATTTGCCCGTATTTTTTGCTCGAATCTCGGCCCTGCCGGGTGGGTTTTCCAAAGGAGATGCCGGTACTTTCACTTTCCCAACTGTCCGTTCCATGTTTCCCCCTTACCTGAGTTTCTGTGAGGCTGAGGCTGTGTGCCAGCTGTTTTCTCTCCGCTCCTACTACATAATGGTTCTTCTCAAAGGCATGTTCCAGTCTCAGTAATTGGGATGGGGAGAAAGCTGTACGGATCCGTTTGGGTTTCCTGGCCAGTGCATTGTGCAATAGGAAGCTCTCCGGGCTGGTTTCATTCCCTGGGCAACAGGGTAAAACAGAGATTAGCAAAACACCTTTCCCAAATGCACTCGACAGGACTTTCTAGCACAAGAAATTTTTTTTCTCCCACCGTTATCCGCAGGAGAAATCCGACTATGGTTTCTTTTTTATTTTTCAACCCTTTTTTGGTATTGAATTTTCTTTTGATAAATAAGTGGAGGGGAATGATAAATGAGCGGGGGAAGGAGAGGACTGGGAGAAATTAAAATTCTAAAACCCAACCTGGGGAGGACTACAGAAAAAAAAAAAATAAAAAAATAAAAGAAAAGAAAAAAATGGAAAGAATTGGCCAGAGCCCGGCTGCGGTGTCTGCGGCTTCATCCCGTGGCTGCCCCCCCTTCCCCTCGACCACCGGCAGCCTCACATCTTTCCGTATTTGTTTGTTGTTCTCATCTTCCCGCCGCGGTCAGCTGGGGAGCGGCGCTCGGGACGCCCTGGCCGAGCCCCCCGAGACGCCTTGGCCGCCCACCGGCCTCCGGGAGCCGCCCGCCCGCTCCCCCGGCCTGTCTGCGCTTCCCTCCCCCAAAACTTCGGCCGGGGCCTTTCTCCCTCTGCTTCCCTCCGTCCTGCCGGTGTGTTGCCCAGAGCGGGGCTCCCACCGCCGCCGTTCCCGGCCCACTGCCCACTCCACGGTGCCTCGGCGGCGACGGGAACCGGCGTGGAAATAAAGAGCCAAACTTCGGAGAGGCCACAGAGCGGCCATCCCATCTCATCTTATCCCATCCCATCCCTGCCGGCCCGCATCGGAGCGGGGGAAGGAGCGGGGGGTGGGTTAGTTGGGGCTTTTCGGTGGGCATCTCCCTCCAGGGTGTCCCTGTGCCGCTCCTCCGGGTCGGCCCTTCCAAGGTGGGAAAGGCACCGAAGGGCTCTCGCTGTAAGTGCATTAAAAATCGTTGGAGAAGGAGGGTGTGTTTGAAATCAGACTGTGGTTCAACACCAGGACATTTCCGCCTTTCATCTAGACCTCGTTACCAATCGCCTGGTGGCTGCGACAAATAATTTGGTGAGCGAAACCTGTAATTTTATTCTCAGAGGGTAATAATCCATTTTGCCTCAGACCGCCTGGGTTCAGAGAGAGTGGCTCCTTTTCCAACCCGGCTGCAGCGGCCCGGCTGCAGAAGGCCGGGGAAAATGCAACATGCAGGTGGTTTGTTTTCGTTCCGAAATAATAAATAAAAATACAAAGAAAATAAAAAAAAGCAGATAGATCCCTCCGAGTGGAGGTTGATTTTTTTGTTTGTTTGTTGTTTGGTTTGTCTATAACGAAAGAGGCAGGAGCTGGATCCATTACGGGAGAAATCAGCTCACCCTTCGGGGAAGACGCTGCTGGTTATAAAGGGTTAAACAAGGGGGATTTTATTGATTGTCCGCCATTGGATTCGGTTATTTCCCTTCAGCCGGGTATTAATCGCCGTGCATTTGGAGCCCCTCGCTGCCCACACGGTCGGGATCGCCCTCCCTGCGCCTTCCCCGGCTATCCTCCGCAGCCCCATCTCCCCGTGCTGCTCCGGTGCTGGGATTATTTCCCCCCTCACATTCCCCTTCTTCTTTCTCTGAGATTCGCTTCATTTCTCCCCCTCCAACAAGGGCAGCGGTCGGACTTGGGGCCGTGGCGGGGGCTTCCTGCGGCCCCGCAGCTCGGCCCCGCAGCCCGGTGGACACCGCCGCCTTCCCGGGGGAACCTCAGCCTCAGCACCTCTCCATTCCCCGCTCTGCGGGGCCGCTTCCTTCTGTAGCTTTTAACACACCGGAACAAAAAATATCCACCTTTTCCCCTGCTTTTAATGGGGGCAGAAAGCTGACGAAGTCCCAGCCGGCCTTGCCTTCCCGTTTGCCCCCCTCTTCACGAGAAACCAAAACAAACCGGCAAAAAGCAGCAAAACAAAACGAAGCCCAAGCCCCTCGTCTCTGACAGCTCATCAAGTTTGGCGGAGGGGGAGACAGGGACAAAAGACCCCGGGCCCGGTCGAGCCGAGCCCGCGGCTCCGGGCAAGGGCCGCCCGCCCACCGCAGTCCCCCAAAATCCGCACGGCGGGGCCGGCCGGGAGCTCCGGGAGGGTGGATCGCAGGGAGAGTGGATCGGAGGGAGAAGAAAAGTTGCACGTACCTTGAAACCTGTGGCCCAGATACCGGTACCGGTGTATTAGCCACGGGTAGAAGGTGGAGGGGTCCCTTTGCTGCGAGGCGAAGAGCGGGTGCGTGGAGTGCGAAGCAGGCAGCGGGTGGGCGGCCAGGGCGTGAGGAGGGGGCACGGGATGGACCGGCACGGCCGGGTTAGGCGGGTGGGAGACGGCCTCTGCAAAGACCAAGTCCGGGTTGGAGTAGACCCCCCTGCCAGTGGAGTGGAAGCCGTTGAGAAAAGGGTTCATCGGGCTGGAATTGGCATAGCTGAGCGCCGCCGGCCGGATAGGATCCTCGGAGCGAGACGCGGGCAAGGGGCTGTCTTTGGCCACCAGCGACTCGATGGTGAAACACCGCTTGGGTGTGGGCTGAAACATGCTGCCGCGACGAGAATCCCCGACCCAATCTCTGCCCGTCTCTCTCTGGTGCGCGGGAGACGATCCGGGGAAGTTTGCAGCAGGGAGTGACTTGAGGAGGGATAGATACACACATAAATAGACAGGGGCTGGAGGAAAAGGAGGCAGCGGCAGCCAGCGGTACCCAAAAGGGAGACACACACGCACCACGCACACACACACAAAAAAAGTTGCTGGGAGAAGTTTCCCTCCTGCAAGGAAAAGGCGGTCGTCCCCCCCTCCCCCCCTAAGTCCAAAGACAATCCATGGATGTGATCGGCCCCTTCACAAGTTGTGCAAACGATTTGTTAGTTCATGAGCCTAATTAGTGCTGGGATCACATAAACAGCTTCCTCTGAAGCCTGGTAAATGGCTTGATGATTGGTCGCTATTACTCGCCTTGAGGTTGAAGGGGGAGACTCTTTAAAGTGCGTCAGAGGGGAGGCGAGCGCCGGGCAGCGCCATCGGAAGGGATGGAGCCGCGGATCGGAGTGCGGCGGGAGCGCGCCCGCCACGCGGGGGGAGCGCGGCGCCCCGCGCAGCCGCCCCCGCCCCGCCGCCATCCCCGCCCCGCTCCGCTCCGCGCCCCTCCGCCGCCGCGCTGCCCTCCCTCCCTCCCCTGCCGCCGCTCCGAGACCAAGGTAGGCGGACGGGGGTCGGGGGGGGGGGGCTCAGCGGGCAGGGGGTGCAGGGCGCCGCATCTCCTAGAGGGGGCTCGGGGGGGTTTGGGCTCCTCGGCCAGCGTGACGCCCCTCTCCCTGCCGCCTCTCGGGGGCTCTCGGCCCGGCGAGGTTACCTTGATCCGCCCCGGGGTGTCAGGGAGAGATGCCCCGCTTGGGAAAGATTTCGTCCCGGTGAGAAAACGGGTCGTCCTCCTCCTCCTCCGAACTTATTTCCTCCCCCCGGGCTGCCCCGCGCTGCCCGCCCCGCGCGGCGCGGAGCACAAAGCGCAGGGCGGCTGCATCGCGCAGGGCTGGGACACGCCGGGCGCTCGCAGACGGGACAGGGGATCACGTCTCCGGTTCCAGCCTTGTCCGTATTTTCGCGTTTACCTTTGGGTCCGGAGATGATTTTAGGGCTGAGTTCTCCTCCTCTCATTGGCTGGGGCTGCAGAATAATTATGATCACATCCTAATACTCTTGGCTGGTGCTTACTGTTTATTGGTAGTTAAGGATCTATTATCTATTCATCAGCCTCCCATTTTTGCCAATTACATTCTTCTAAAGTGAAGTACCAGCAGGTATTTTGCACATTTACAATTAATGATAAAAAAAATCTGGCGTGCTTTAAATCTATTACGCCGCTGTGTAATTTATCTTAAAGATGCGGAATTGCTAATGTAAATTAATGTTTCTGTTGAACCAAGGGATGGGGGGAGTCTTAAAACCAGTCTAGCGTTTCTTTCCTTCGTTCCCGGACCTTGTTTTCTATTTTCTTTCCACTTTATACACAAAGAATCCGTTACTTCGCCGCATTAAAATATGCTAAAAAATAAATCGCCGCCTGAACGGTCCTCGCTTGTTTCCACTAAAGGGCGAGATGAATTCTATTCGCGTTCCCTGCTTTCTACTAAAAGCATCTGTTCGCAGCTTGCCGATATTTTTAACAAAATACCAAATCGACGGGCTAAATATAAGTGACAAAACAGCGTTGGGCACGCAAGGATGCGGCTGTTCTTGCGCCTTTGTTCGGGGCCGTGTTTCCCTTTGTGTACCCCGCGCTGTGTGCACTTTGTGGGGGGAGAAGTTCACTTCATGTAGGAAATGTAAATCTGATCTCCAGGCGTGGGGCGGCTGTACGTATAGACATCCGTACCCACACGTGCATACGAGAGCAGAGCAGAGTGAGAGAGAGCTTTATACGGCGTAACTCAAGTCTTTGGACAGATTTTGCAGCGAAGTGCCATTCTCTCAGGTCTCACACGTTTGGAAAAACCTCTGCAGCCCGAAGACACCCGGGACGCAGAGCTCCGACCCCGCTGAGTTGAGAGTGTCGAGCAAGGGAGAGAAGGATTTGTCTGTAGCCCCACTCGTATCCCTCGTGAATTGCTAATATCTTAACTTTTTAAGTCCCCTCACCCTTTCTCCGCAAAACTTTTTTCTCCTCAACCGGCAGTAACTACGGCTCTTCTCGCAAAGCTCGGGGGTTATGGACACGAGCAAGGCTGAGAAAGTGCCCTAAATACGACGGGTGTTTGAAGTGCTGATTTCGACTGGGCTCTTGGTTCCAGAACACTGAAAATGAAAAAAGACAAGAGAAACTTATTCTTCTCCTAGGAAGAGCCGTGTTCTGCATCTGCGTATTTACACTTCTCCGGGACTGAAGAATGAATCTGAACTGGAAAAACTTCAACTCCTTTTTTTTACTTCTTTTTTTTTTTTTTTTTTCCAGACATCCTGACATAATCACGGGGCTCCTTTGAAAACTGCATCAAGCAATTTAGCAGTTGGGGAGGGAGGAATTATATCCGTTTGAAAAGAAACCTCACACATGCAGAGAGGGAATAACTCTCCAAAACGCTCGGTAAATTTCCCTCGACCGTCTTTACCGCCGAGGAAATATCCTCCAGCCTAAAATCCCTTTCCGAAGGGGCGTCCCGTTGCTCTGGAGCCGAGCGGAGGAGGCTACAGCTGCAGCGAGGAGCTCTCCACGGCAAAGTCCCATTTCGTTCGGGAGCGCGGGTGATCTCGGCCGCAGCACCCTGGAGGTCCCTGTGCAGCCCCAAATCCCGCACGCTCTCTGTGCTCTGTACACACATACACATATCTGCGTGTGTGTGTGTGCGTGTGCGCGGGGATACACACACGCAGAAAAATCCCAAGCAGGGCCTGGAGAGAGCACAAGCTATCTCTGGATTTTGTCAGAGATAAAACAGGCCGGGGACAGTCAGAACAAAAACCAAGGGGACTCGGGATGGGATTGCCCAGAATTTTCCTCTTCTCCCTAAATTTTCGCATCATTCTCCCACTCGTCGCCGTGGCCATTTCTCTGGGGTGTCTCCCGCACAACCCCCGGCCTCTCCTAGCCCGGCCGCGGCCGCTGAGCTCCAGCCCGGCCTGCCCCGGGAACACCTCCCGAAGCCCCTCTCTTGAACTTTTCCTGCCCAAGGTCTTGACAGGCTGCTCTCGCTGTCCTCTAGGCGTCTACATGGAGAAAATCTGGCAGGGGCTTCCTTCCCAGAAATCCCCGATCTGCTCCAAGCGCACTGAGAGGCAGCCTCTCTCGGAGGGAGGGGTGCGCTACGTTCGCAGTCAGATTACATGGCTGGCCTCATAGGCACTAGCTCCGGATTTCCAAACTAATATTCATCCCTTAAAAGACGAAGAAAATGAGAGGAAGGTCTCAGACGCGGGAGACCTCGGGGTAAGACGGTTGTTCAGGGGCTGAACCAGGCTGAACTTTCTCGGGTATGAGGGTGGAGGTGAGGCAAGTTTCAGACTCCCCTTAAGTTTCTTTTCAAGGCAGAATCCGTCTCCCTCTTCTCTCTCCCATCCCAGGGATTCGTGACCACAGCGGGGAGGAGACGTGACCCAGGCAGGTCGTGTCTGGAGGGGGGCTGACTGACTTAAAGGAGAGGGTGAAATGCCTAATTTAATTCTTTTCCGGACGCCCTAAACCCCCGTCAGTGTGTCTGAGCGTGCTGCGAGCCCTTCATAGGAGTGCAGTCCTCGGCGGGAGGGACGGGATCCCGGGCCGCCAAGTGCCGAGACGAGCGGGGCTCCCAGGAGCTGGGCCGGGATGGGGGGCTCCGGGAGAGCCCGGGCTCGGGCACCTCGGCCTCTGCCGAGCAGGTGGATCCCATCCGAGGAGGTGTCGCAGGCAGGCCTGGCTCCCCCGAGCACCCGGAGCCTCGCGTGGACGGGGCCTCTCCCCCCACTCAGCCGGGGATCCAGAGCTACACGGGGGGCTTCCCACGGGTCTCCCCAAAGAGAAGACGGGCCCAGAAACCCTCACCCCTCTATTTCGGTCCTGCACAGCCGGGCCAGCGGTGGTGCCGCCGGGGGCCCGTCTCAGAGGCGGGGGACAGGGACTAGGACCGGGAAAAGGCCTTGCTGCCCGGGTTCCTCTCTCCGGCCCCGGAACAGCGAACATGGACCACCATTTGGGGTTTTTTTCTTTTCGACGCTAATTCAGAGTCCCTTCCTCCCTCTCTCCGAACCACCCCGCCTTGGGCGCTGCACGGCCCGGCCCGCCGTGGTTCCGCGCAGCTACTTCCATCCCGGAGGTGTCAGACTCGCGGTTCCAAAATGACGTTAGTTAGCACGGGACACCCGTAGCCTCCCCGGGTTTACACGAGAAGCCCTGACCCTCACCCAGCCGTGCCGGACTCCGGCTCTTCTTAAACGCCAACACGTGCGGGGGAAGCGGGAGGAAACACCCGGAGCTGCGGGCGGGCGCGGTGAGCAGCGCGGGACCGGGAGGCCCCGAGGAGCATCCTCTCTCCCGCCGCTCCCTTCTCGGTCCATCCCGATCCCACCCCAGTCCTATTCCTGTCCATCTTGGCCCATCCCTGTCCATCCCGCTCCATCGCGGGCCCATCCCGGTCCATCCTGGTCCCATCCCTGTCCATCCCTGTTCATCCCGGTCCACCCCGGGCCCATCCCAGTCCATCCCTGTTCTTCCCGGTTCATCCCGGTCCATCCCTGTTCTTCCCGGTTCATCCCTGTCCATTCCTGTCCCATCCCAGGCCCATCTCGGTTCATCCCTGTCCATCCTTGTTTATCCCAGTTCATCCCTGTCCATTCCTGTCCCATCCCAGGCTCATGCTGGTCCATCCCGGTCCCATCCCTGTCCATCCCAGTCCATTCCGGTCCCATCCCTGTCCCATTCCGGTCCCATCCCTGTCCATCCCGGTCCATTCCGGTCCCATCCCTGTCCATCCCGGTCCCATCCCTGTCCCATTCCGGTCCCATCCCTGTCCATCCCTGTCCATCCCTGTCCCATCCCGGTCCATCCCTGTCCATCCCGGTCCCATCCCGGTCTATCCCTGTCCCATCCCTGTCCATCCCTGTCCCATCCCGGTCCAGCCCTGTCCATCCCTGTCCATCCCTGTCCCATCCCGGTCTATCCCGGTCCATCCCGCAGCGCATCCGCGGGGCGGCAGCGCCCCCTGCCGGCCGCCGCAGCGCTCCCCCCGCCCCGCGGCCCCGCCGGCCCCGGGACCCTCCGGTCCCGTCAAAAAGCTGAAAGGCCGCTCAAAATGTCTCCTAATAAAATTAATAAAGTCCTAAAGGGCTTGTTGGGTTTTTTTGGGGTTTTTTTGAGGGGCGCGGAGAAACCTCCCCGCGCGTGTGTTTGTGAACACGCGTTCGTGCACACGCGCTCTAAATCTCCCCCCAGTGCGATACCCGCTGGCAGAGCACTTAGTTTAAGCGCAGCTTTTGGACTACCCGCCGTTCAGACCAGTTGCGCTCCTGAAATCTGTCCCTCAGGGGCAGCCGCCGGAACAGCGCCCAAACTCTGGATCCAGCCCCTGCGCTTGTTTTCACACCTCCTTCGAAATCGTGGCTTGCGACACGCCGTGTACGGCAACTTCTCGCAGTCGTGGGTGGTGCGATACGGACGAGAGGCGCTAGAAAAGGCGCCTGCCTTTCCCGCCCGCCCGGCGGGTTGACCTGCTCCATCCCGAAGGAACTGTCCCGTGGTGGCTCCCGTGGCCTCGGAAATGCTGGGGGTGTCGGCGGTGCGGTGCCGCACGCCGGTGAGTTACTGCAGGTTTCCAGCAGTCGGATGCTGAATTCGCAGACACAGCGGCTTTGCCCGGCAGCAGCTACCTGGGGAACCGCTGAAACTGTGGGTTTCTGAGGGCCCGTGTCTGCCACGAGGGCTCTCCCTAGAGGAAAACTCGTCAGACTTAAAAAAAAAAATAATTAACGAGGCAGAGCTGCAGGCCAGGCAGGGGCTGCAGGTGTCCCCACTCCAGACATCCCACGGGAAAACGCTCGTTGTCCCGTATGGGAGCGAAGAGGTGCCCGAGCTTCCCCTGACGTGGAGGTT